CTCACTATGACTCCCAGCTCCCTAAACACATAGTTACTGGTTTCATCCAGATGGAAGATAAATGCACAGGAATATGGATATCCATGGAGTCAAGCTTCCAAGTGTTCCTCAAGATGTGCTGGACTTCCTGGTTTCTTCCCTCCACTTTATTCTTCATTCTTTAGCTTATGGCATTGCTTTTCTCCCTGAAGAATTGAATTTACTGAATGTCTTTTCTTTTTTATTGGTTCTGTATACTTAAACATAACATGAGGTTTCATTTTGACATAATTATAGAAGCATTGAATACAATTTGTCCTAATTGAGTCCCTGGTACTTCCTCTTTCTGCCATTTCTCCCTCCTCCTGTTCCCTCCCCTGTACTGATATTTCTGCTATTTGAAAGTAATTTCTTAAAGTTTATATCATAATCCAACAATATCTCATTCCTGAAAGCCATTAAATTCATTAAAATTTATGTATATAACAGAATCGGTTTTTCACCTGTTTTCACGTTGGTGTTATGCCCAATGTAGAGACTGAAATTTCCAATATCACTTTGCCTCCTCCTTTTCCTTTGCCAAGTACTTCAAACAAGATAACAGTTTATGAAAACACTGACCCCAAAGTGTCTCTGTTAGCACCTTTCTTCTTTTCTTTCCACACTTCAGACCCAAACTATCACATTATTATACCATAATAAAAGGCTCCTAATAAATTCCTAACCTCACTCTAATTTGTCTCCAATTTCAACTACAAGCATTTATTTATTTAATTATTTACACTGGGGATTCTACCCAGGATCACTTTACTACTGAATTCCCCAGTCCTTCTTATTTTTCATTTTGAGGCAGTATTTCAATAATTTTGCTCATGGTTTTGCTAGGTTGCTGAGGTTGCCCTAGAACTCACAATCTTCCTACACAAAATCAAAGTCACTAGGGTTACAGGTGTGTGCCACCATACTTGGCTAGAATGAATATTTTGAAATGTTATTATGACAATGAGCTTCTCTAATTAAATCTTTAAGTGGTCTATCATTAACAAATGGTCACATTTGAATTCATTAGCCTAGAATTAAAGGTCCCTTTGATCAGTAGTAAATCAATATTTCTAGTCTCAGTTCTCAAAATTTTCTTCCTCGTATATATAAATAGATACCCACATATGGCTTCTTGGTGTTATCCAAATCTTAATACACTGATGCATACTTATTAGTGTTTGCCTGATATATGTACATATCTGTTCAAATCATCTTCCATAGCTGAAGTCCACAGATTCCCTCTTTCATGAATATGTGGCTGATCTACACCAGTAGAGGTAACTCTCCCTACCCCTCATAACCTAGATATGCATCTCCTATCAAGTATACTTCTTTGCATGACTTGCATTATAACATTGTGAATCTTCTCTCCTCTCTCATCAGCTCTAAAATTGAACCCTGATCCTTACTCATGGTTTCGGTCACTACCAATGCTATGCTTAGTGCAAGGGACAGATGAAGAGAAATGTTCAATGAGTCACTCAAGCTTCCGAATTTTAAGTCTTTTATGTCAAAGTGGAGATGCTAATGCTAATAAGTTTACCTAATGTGGTTGTAAAAATAAAAGTGAAAATTCTCAGGAGCAAATAATTTGCAACTCTGGTCTTTAAAACCTGCTTATATCTCAACTCCAGACTTTCATCTGCCTTTGTTCCTGAACCTGCATTCAGGATTCCTCTGTCCATTTATCTCAGGATACAATTTTGCCATAATTCCACATGGTAAGCCCACTTTGTTTTCCTTACCTGCAAGCTTTCCGATAAATTTTGGTTTGTCTCTCTGTGCAATAAATACACCTCCCCTTCTTTTGGAAGCATTTAACATAAATAGGATCCTTCCACATGACTTCTAACACACCAGGGTCTTTTTATGCATCCTTCAAACTGCAGCCTGATGGGATATTCCTATGAGGAAGTAATGTGTGAATCAGAAACCATGTGGGATTACAGAGATCAAGAGCATGGATAGAAAATATGAAAGCAAAAAGAAAATGATATAGGCATATAATAAATAATCAGAGTAGTAGACCGTTATTCTTCATATTGCTATATCTTTAGCACTTGGGTTTCTTAGTTAAGGGTGGCTTAAAATCTGAATTTGGAGTTTCTATAACTTCAACTTACCTACTTGAGAGAGCTCTTGCATTGAAAGGGAGAGCAATACTGGGGGCCCTGCATGCCATGATCATAGCCCACAGTTAACCTCTGCCAATTCACTGGCCTGAGCAATATATGGCTGCTTCTAGGAAGTCCCTTATGCTGTCATCAGCTCAGGTGTTCATGGACTTCTGGGAATACAGAACATCAGCAGTGCTCCACACCTCCCAGCTGGTACTTCATGACTTATATTAGTATGCTGGAGCATGAGTGATCTTAACTAAAAGGAATTTGCAATAAAATTGCATGTGAACCCACATTTTAGCAGTTATTGGCATCTAAGAAGTCAACTACCTCAATTATATTCAGTTAGTAGCAAAATAAGAGTTAAATATCTCCTAATTCAGGGTTTGTCGTTTCTACTTTTTACCTATGATCATATCCACTGAAGTCTGGATACAAAACACAACAATTGCAAAAAACAAACAAACAAAATACCCCACTATGCAGAGAATTCATGCTCAATATAAATGAATTTCAGCATTTGCATTTACTAGAACATGTGAAATTCTCACTTGGATCATCCATAAAATTGACCCTCAGCATGATGAAAACACAAGTGTGCCATGCTTGACCAACACAGAATGTGATTATTGATTAAATGTATTCCTTTATTAATGAGGTTTTGAGAATTTAGCACTGTGTTGGATTCTTCACAAATGTTTATTTAATATCTAGTAGGGAGACAGCAAGTGTGATATGGGGCTACAAAGTTCGGCAACTGATGTGGAGTCAAGATTCCACCACTTGCCTTGAGAAAGTGGACTGTGGTTTGAGTTCAGATTCTGACAATGGTCTTAACAAAGCCTCTAAACTACAGTTTCGTTTTTCACCCATAGTTAATAATCTCATATCACAGAATGAGTGAGATGATTAAGGGAGTCACTATGTGGGAAGCAGGAAGCCCACTGGCTGCCATACAGCATCAGTGGAGGTTGGTGAGTATGTTTCAGTTCCAGAAATTAACTCCTGAGTAGAGCACCTGAAGACTGACACTGACCTCTGTGTTCAGAATAATAAGAATAAATGCTTGGGGTAGCATGAACAACTGAATTCTAGGAAGACACCAACAGATACAGCTGGAAGAAAAACAGCAGTCTCATACTGGAAGCAAACCAGTAAGAAAGTTGTTTTTTAGAAAGACCCTCTCACATACCCAGATTTCCTTTGAGACTATCAAGAAGAAAATGCAGGCACTTTTCTAGAATCCCTCCCAAAGATGAATTAGAATACAGGATTCAGCAACTCCTTAGATAACTCTAAGATCTTCCCACACCAGTCTCATGCACGCAGATGAGGAACCCATCTGAAACTTGCTCAGTACACAGGGATTTGGCAGAGTTCAGAGTCCACTGTTCCTTGTCTAGTGTCTTTAACTTTAACTTTTTCCACATTAAAAGAAAAAAAAAAAACCTTCTCAACTATAACAATGTCAAGTTACTACCCTCAAGGTTTATGGAATAAAATGTACAAAACACAAATGAGAATAAATCTGGAAATGATATTAGTAATGAAAATGTGTATATGAATAAATATACCCATTTGTGGTCTGCCTGGGGAAACTTCTAAGGAAACATCATAATTCAATTAATGTAATAATAAAGAATTGCAGGAAAGATTTTAGAGCAGAATAGCAGAGAACTTGCAATATTATAAGGCAGTCATTGAAGGTTTCCAGGTCACTTTCAAGTGCTATCATCTCTCAAAAATCAAGCAAATATTATTGAGATTGATCCAACATCAAAATGGACTTTGCAGATGCAATTAACACTTTACACCTTAAGATTGGATTTTTTTCTTTTGGATGATTTAGATGGACATAATTTAGTCTCATAAGTCAGGTAACAGCACAGAGTTTTTACGACTAGAGCCACGACAATGCGGCAGATCAGTCAGAGATTCAAAGCATGAGAGGCACTCATTCCATCATTACCTGAAGGTCTCAACTGGAAAGCATGAGAAGTAATGTGGGCAAGCACAGCTGAATCCCTGGCAAAGGAATGGAAACCTCACTCTACAACTATAGGGAACAGACATGAACCAAGTTTCAAAGGACATTTTCCCCTAAAGATCTGACCTACAAAAACTCTAAGAGATCTTTGTTGTTTTAAGCTGCTAAACATGTGATTGTTTCTTAGGACAACAGTAGGAAACAAATACATTTAGCCTTAGGCTAGAAGAATAAGAAGGTAAAGAACAAAGAAGAGTCATTCCTCAAAGACAGGACAATACAAATGCAGGGATCCACCTTGAAAGAGAATGATGGAGGAGGAGGATGGAAGGCAGAAGATAGGGATTCTAAGAGTTCAGAGTCAGAATTTGTTGACATTGACCTATGAGGGCAATGAACAGTGATAATGGTGCAGTGATCATTTCTGATTGTCATTTCCTAAAAAGACTGGCTAATAGTCTGGCTAGTTGCAATGAGCATGCTCAAAAAGGTCCCATGCCTTCCTTAATACTCTTCTATCATTGTCATGAAAGTCTTGATTATTTTTTCTTTGAACACGGATTTTTGTAAGACAAGTCTGATAGTACAATGTTGTGAATATACATCCAACATCAGTATTTGCCTCATCAATCACATCAATTTCTCACTATGCCTCAGGGGCACAGAATTCCGGTTGATCTACCATGAGTGGGAATTTAAGAAGGCCAGGATAGAAAAGGGAGACAAAGAAAAAAGATAGAAAGTAAGAGATCAGAATAGAGAATATAATATGTAGATATTTCATTTCCATATTCCTCATCAAGGTACTGGAAAATTTTCCTGTTTCCTTTCCTCATTTATCAACTAATTATTATCTTTCTCTCCCTCAACAGATTGCCACAGATCAAATCCCTAGAGAAGGCTACCTGAGTTTTCACATCTGAGCATCACAGAGAGAAGCAATAAATAACCTCACTTACCAAGACCTTTGACCAGAGGAAGCTGGAATATGGAGATGAACTGAAAACATATAATTAGCTCAGATCCAAGAACATGGATCACACATTCAGACCCTTCACTGTCTAATAACACATCTATCTGAACCCACAAAGAGATATACCTCTCACTCGCCCAATCAAAACTCCAGCCTAAGTCATTGCACGACTATACTCTGCCACACACCTTCACAAGGAGACTATACATCTCTTTCTCAGAGCTCCAAACACAGCCTGCTCCACCTGCAAGTGCTTGTCTCTGATCCAGGTAAGTTCTTGAAATAAGATCACCCAACAGCTGGGTTCAATAAATAAACTCAGATTTAGTTTATTAATTGACAGTAGGTCCTGCTCTTACCCAATCTTTCTGATCCTCACACCCATAGATTTGAGAGTACTTTCCAACCCCCATTTGAAATCTTCCATGGATGGAAAGAATAAGCCAAGAAGATAAAATGCACTGACTTCAGCTTTCCTCTGAGTATCTTTCCCCTAGTGTCAGAGGTAAGTATCAAGGCTAAACCCAGAATCATCTGGTGTCAAATTGAGAATCTAATGCAAGTTGGAAGGGGCTTTCTACTTCTCTTTACTTATTTGATGTTTAGATAATGAGTAAAACTATTGCATTTTTAAATGGAAAGAAATCAGTTTCTTTGGAAGAATCATGAATTCAAGTATTGGTCATACTAATGGATTGTAGGGAAAGATAAAAACACAAAACTCTAAAGCTAGAGATATAAGACGTCATTTCAGTTCCACAAGGAACATGCCTGAATCTAAATTATATCAGTTCAATTCTCTGGACTTTTGGTCTTCCCACTGGTAAGAACTGTAGAATGATATTTTCACACTATTGACTATTCATTGTTAGGAAATAAAGATTATTTTTTAAAGGGAGGGGGATTATTTGGGGAATCCCAACATTTAATCCCATAAATATAAATCTTTGCTCAACTTCTTATTAAGGAGTTAAGAAAGATGAAATCTTTGTCAATTTGGAGATAGCAAAGTCACAAAAATGTTGAATTTTTCCAGTGAGACTTGGTAAACAAAAAATCACAAAATGTCTATAGAATCATACCCTTTGTAATTAGAAAGCTATAGAGAAGAAAGAAATTTGTTCAAGGTGACAAAACAATTCTTGATATAGAATCTGGACTCAAATTTGGGTTTCATGGCATAATTCTGAAGTCCTTTTAAGTACAAAATATGGTAAAGGAGACTATATGCAATACTAATAATTCCTTTACAGCCAAAATAGAGTCCTACTCCTGAATGTCTTTGTGGATGTCAAAACTAGAAAACCTACTTTCTCCCTCCAGGATGTAGCACTCTCGGCTGTCCCTCACATCCTGAAATTACACTAGTAAGTTTGCAGGATGAGCCAACTCTGACATAGCTGTGTGTATTATCTCAGCAGAAAGCAGAGCTGATTTATCTAACTTTTTTTTTTCCTACAGAAATGCTCATATCACTAAAGTACTAAATTAGGAGGTATGTAATCATATCAAGATCATCTACCTTCTTACTAGGCACTTTAGGTGAAATATAAAAGTAAGTCTTTGGGCATATATCTGGGAAGATAGATTCAAACAGGAAAAAAAAGATTAATGCATCATTACATTTTTGCCAAAAAGAAAAGGGCATGTATGTTAGGACTCAGAGTAAAATACTTTTCAGATGCTTGAACAATTAAAAAAAAA